ACAGCCCCTCCCCGGCTGGCATGCTGCTGCGGGAAGGGGAGAGCCTCCGCAGGCGCTACATCGACCGGGCCAAGCGCATCGACACCATCTCCCGAGCTGTCTTCCCCTTCACCTTCCTGGTCTTCAATATCTTCTACTGGGTTGTCTACAAAGTGCTGCGCTCGGAGGACATCCACTCGGTGCCCTGAGGCCTGGAAAAGCGTGACTGCCTCTCGGTCTGACCCCCAGGCACCACAAGCTCAGCCAGAACCACATTTCCCTCTGTCCCAGAGCAGCAGCACAGCCGGGCTGGGCCTCAGAGCCTGGACATAGCAGTCCCCCTGTCCCTTTGGATGCTGGGGCACCAAGGAGGGAGATCAGCAACCTCAGGTCCCCATGGTCAGCTGGAGAGAGGGACCCCTCCTGCTTCCTGCATGGTGTCACCCCCAGGGTACCCAGGGATGCTGTGCTGCTGCAGGGGGCACCCGGTACTTTGGGATGCTGCACAGCTGGTGGACAGGGAACCAAACACCCTCCACCTCTCTGCACCTTCCGTGTCGGGCTGCTGCTTCTTCAGGCTGCATCACTGAGCCATGGGCCACAAGCAGCCAGGCGAGAGGCTGCAGTCCTATCTCCTCCCCTGGCCTGGAGCTCCGTTGCAGGAAACAGCAGGTAGCACCCCTGCCTGCACCCAGACTGTGTGGGTTGCTGGCTATGGCCCCATAGCTCCCAGCCCAGCAATGGAGAGGGCCCCTCTGCCTCCTAGCCAGCTCCAGTACACAGCAAAGCAGCAGGTCAGGGATGCTTCCCTCCCTGCAGAGCCCAGAGCTGCCCATGATGCCCGCAGCTGCAGGCAGGACTGTGGCCAGGGACACTGGGCAGGAGGCTCCATTTCCTCCAACAAAACGTCAGCCCTGGGACGAGCAGCAGGTGAGCCCCGTCCTGCTGAGGGTGAAGGGCTGCAAGATGGCCTTTGCAGCTGCACTGGGGAGCCAGCACTGCACTACCTGCAGGACATGGCCCACAACACATCTTCTGAGGGAGACTTTTCGGGATGAAAATAGCGAGAGCAGCAGCCGATGCCTTTGGAGGAGCAGAGTGAGTGGTGGCATCCCCAGACTGCTGCGTTCCCACAGCACCACAGTGCCAGCGGAGCCAAAGGCTGAAAACCGCCCCGTTCCCACCGCGGCGCCCAGGCACAGTGCTCCCCACATGGGTTCACCCCTGCTGCTCCTCCACCAGAGAGGAAAGCATCTGAAACCTTGACAGGACAAACTCAGCAAGGCTTCTAACCCTCCGGACCCGGATATCCTCCGTGCTTCCCAGGAAATAAAAGCTGTAGGTGATGTTTATGTAGGTTCTACAGAGAGAAACATGTTAATGCTCTCCTTTCCCCCTGCTCACAGCCAGCCTGAAGGGGCTCGCAGCCTGGTGGGGTCCATCCTCCCACATTCCTGGGTGCAGGAGAGGCCCAGGGTCTTCCAGGCAAGATGGGATGGAAAGAGGATTAGCCCTTTTCCTTGGAGGCTGTGGTGCCACCATGGCATGGTGAGGGCCCCAGTGACCCACCTGTCATGGCAGGAGGGACCCTGCAGGGCAGGGGGATGTGGGTGGGACGCCAGCACTGCCTGC